CACCAGCAGTTAGAGTTCCACTTCTTTATTTTCTCCAACTCCATATACTGGTAGTCATTTTGACTATTCTGGTAGATACTGATATTTCATTGTAATTTAATTTTCACATTCCTCATGCCTGAGTTTGGGCGATCTATTATTGTTTCTTGGTCATCTGGATGTTCCATTTTGTGATGTGCCTGTTGAAATATTGTGCCAATGTTAAATTGCATTTGCTTTTTTTCTTCTTGATTTTATTCTATACATATTTTTTGAATGTATGTGTGTGTGAAGGTATATATATTTTCAATGTTTTCCTTTATTCTCAGTGCTTTTTCTGTCCTATTTCAGATGCATTATGAAATTTTTACTTTCTCTTTCCTTCTTTTATTGAAATATCATTGATAATATGTTTATATATAATTTTCTAGCTTTATCTCCTGGAATTAATTTCTGTGTATAAGTTAGGAGCCAAAGTTACTTTTTTCACAAGGGTAAATATACAGTTAGTCTAATTGCATTTACTTAAGTGACTCTCCTTCCTCCCAAGTACTGCATTGGTACCTTTGTTGTAAATTATGTGCAAATATGTGTGTGTGTGTGTGTGTGTGTGTGTATGTGTGTTATATGGCCCTATATGTATGTGTCTGCTTGTGAACTTTTCTCTTTGTTCCATCAGTCTATTTATCTATTTTTTTTTACACAAATCACACTATCTTAATGATTATGGCTTTGCAGTTGGCTTTGCAATGGCTTTGAAAGTCCTCTAAATATCTTCTTCTGGAAGACTTTGGCTGATCTCTCTGATATCCATATATACTTTAGAATCAATTTGCTAATTTCCATTTACAAAAAATCATCTGGGATTTCAACTGAAGTTAGATTGAATCCATAAATCATTTTGATGAGAATTTTAGATTTGATTTTCATAATGCTGTCTTCTAATCGATGAAGATGATGTTTCTCCAATTAGGTCTTCTTTAGTATCTCTCAGAAACACATAGATTTCTGGACAGAGGTCTTGTGAATCTTTTCTTAGATTCATTCCTAGGTATTTAATGTTTTCTGATTTATAGTGAATGGCATTAAATTTTTTTCATTATAATTTTTGAAGCTAATGTATAGAAATACAACTCAACTTTGTAATGTTGACCTTATATTCAGCAATCATGCTCAATTCATTTATTAATTCTAATATTTGGTACATACATTCTTTGTTATTTTTTGTGAATAATCTGTCTCTTCTGTATTTTAAGAGCTAAGAAACCATTCTCCAAAGATCCCAAAGCTACTTACATTTATATCTCATTAACCACAACTGAGAAATACACATTCACAGTCACTGGAATAGTAATGAGGTTACTATGACCTATTAGTCAAACACACTGCCCTTTAACTATCAAATATATTGCATCATGATTATGATGCCACAAATTTTAATTATTTTAGCCAAATGTTAAAATATTTTAGCTAGATATATAAATGTTTACATATTAATACTTTGATTTAGAAGTTTGAGAATCAGGAAATAGATGATGATGGATTTTTTGTAGAATATTCCTTCATGTAAAATGAGTTGAAATTATGATTCTTAAGTTATACAATTTCTTAAGCAATGACCAGTAAGCTTCATATGTGAAAAACATTAGTAGCTTTTTGAAGAATAAATTTCAAAATGAAAAAAAAAACTTAGTTCATTTCAAAAATACCCTTTTGCTATTTATTAAAGCACAAAATTATTTTAGAAAACTTAATGCACACACATATCAAACTTTAGCAATAGTTATCAATGACTGGTAGGATTGATCATGATTTAAATTTTCTTAAACTTTTCTGAATTATCTAAATGCTTTACCACAGGGTTTGTCAAACTGGACACTATTGGCATTTGGGGTCAGATAATTCTGTGTTGTCAGAGGCTCTCCTTTTTATTGAAGTGATTGAGAGCATACCTAGCCTCTGCATATTGGATGCCAGTACCTAGCACCTCTCTCTCCCCAGTTGTGTTAGTCTACAGACATTTCCAGATGCCCACCTCTCCATTGCACTGTAGTGAATGAAATTCTAATATATGTAGAAAGTTACTTAGATGTAAAAATAAATATACTGATGTAAATACAGATCAGTAGATAGAATACATCATGTGTTTTTTTGTATGCAAATATCAGTCATTTTTCCATGGTATTAAAATTTTTTAAAAAATATCCTATGAAAGCTGCATAGGTTTGTTCTATGGACATCCAGTATCCTATTGGAAATAGGATTTCAGATTATGGCATTGGTGGTAAAGAACCCGCCTGCCAATGAAGTAGATGTAAGAGATGCGGTTTGATCCCTGGGTCGGGAAGATCCCCTGGAGGAGGGCATGGCAACCCACTCCAGTATTCTTGCCTGGAGAATCCCATGGACAAAGGAGCCTGGCAGGCTACAGTTCATAGGGTTGCAGAGAATGGGACATGACTGAAGCAACTTAGCATGTATGTATGAATGAGCATTTCTTTAGAGTTAATGCCTGGAAAAGAAATTGTAGTGTCAAATGAACATGTTCCATCTGGCAAGATGCTATGAATTTATAACTCCATTTAGTAGTATATGAGATAGCCTTTTTTTTGTTGTTGTTGTTGTTTTTTACATCAGTTTAAAATCTAATCAAACATTAAAATTGTTTTAAAAATGCAAGTAGTCTTATTTTTTCTGAGTATGAATAAGGTATGCTCATTGAAAACATTCAGAAGATAAAATATGACAGAACGAAACTTACCCTTCCAGATTCTTTTTCTATAAACACAAACGTACATAAACACTATCTCCTAAACAGGAGAACTGGGGAATTAAAAGGAGAGGGCACTTTAGACACACCAATACAGTTAAACAGAGGAACTTCCTTAGCATAAAGTTTGAGATCTTAGAGAAGAGCAAATAAGTAAATGTGGAAAACTATATATAAATATATCTGTATAGATATTCATGAGCATAATGAAATGGACATTATCATGCAACACTATATTGTGGAATGATGGATGACCAGAACACATTCTGTTCATTTATTTTTCATTTAAGTCCACCCTGTACTTCATCAATATTTGATTTTACAAATTCCATTTGCATTCAATTGCTTTTTCATCCTTCATAATCTTAGACCCTGTTTTCCATTCCAAGCTTTATTCCATTCTTTTATGGTACTTTTAAATCCATAGTTTTTGTTTCATGGTCCATTTAATTCAGGCCATTACATATTGTACTCCATACTCTGGTCATTCCTATTTTGATTTCCTTCTATTTTCTTTAATATTTTATTTCACACCATACTCCATTTCATTCCTTTTCTCATATAACATTTTTCTTTTATTTCATAGACCATTGGATGTTTACTTTTGCATTCCATTCCATTTTTCCATTATATTCCATTAAACTTTCCATTTCATATCCTATTCAAGTCCATATTCCTTTTCCATTTTATTCTAATTTCCACTACAATCAGTCTCAATTTCATCACATTCTGCATTCCATTTCAAATCCATTTTCCGTTCCTTATTATTTAACAATCCAAATGCCATCCCATTCTATTTTTGTGTTGTGTGTCAGTCAATTTGTTCATTCATTCCACTAAATATCCCATTTCATTTGGCCAAAATTGCTGCAACAGCAACTTGCAGGAGAACCAAAATTCTTATCAAAGAATTAGAAATGTGTATGGCCCATATTCAGAATATCCTTTTCTGGGAATTTATCTACAATAAATTCACATTGGAGAATATGAACAATTTTTAGTAAAAAGGATATATCTTATACTGATGTGTTACAGAGAGTGAAAATTTGGAAATAACATAAACATTGATCAATATAGCAATATTTGAAAATGTAAGCGTCCTCCATAAAAGGAGTATTTTGTAGTTATACAATGGCCTTGTGGAAATTTATTTACTGACATGGAAAGTGTGTTTTCTGGATACAAAAGGCAGGTTACAGAACAAGATCTATGCATGAAAAGTTCCATTTTCATAAAACAAAAGAACTATGAATTATTTACACATGGCCATTCGACCAAAAAATAATAAAACATTCCTAGTACTAGCTTGCTGGTTTGTGGGAATCTAGAATCTAGCTTTCCTACATTTACTTTTGTTTGGGGTACTGAACATGCAGTAATAATCACTTTCATGACTAAAAATGTGTGCAGATATTGAACTTCAAGCCTTTGCATCACATCATGTTTATATTAACAGAAACTAGAGAGGAGGTCAAATAAATTAATGTACATTCATCAGTGGATTACTATACAGCCCATAAAAATGATGATGTATCTTTAAGGACAATACCACCCTTAATCCCAGGCAATCTGTTTGTGTTCAGGAAGCAGGACAGTGGCAAGCATCTTGCTAAAGAATTAACCACCCCTGCACCCTGCCCCCTGCCCCCCGCCCCCCGGTAGCATACTGAACATCCTGAGCCAAGACCCCGATGTAGGACCCATCCGTTCTGTTTCCTCACTTTCAGGCTGCTCTCTGAGCAGACCTTTTATGGGTCATCCAGATGCTCGGAGCAGTTTCAGGACCATCCTTTCCAGGGTCACTGATATGGGTCCAGTGTCCTGACCATATTCCAGGAGGGACACCTAGATAAGGATTGAGCCACCAGAGTAGTGCTACAAGCTAAGCTGATTTGGGGCGGAGGGTGACTCGAATTGTTTATATATACAGCCTCCGCATCCTCAACCCGTCTTTGAAAACACATAATACACTCCTGGGGTTAGGATAGGGAATTCACCGCATTAACTCAGCGGGGGGCCCATGGCGGGGCAAAGCAGACTCCAGAGGCGTGGAACAAACCCTCCTCTTCCACGCTAGGTGGAGCCATATTTGCCTGTTGCCAGGGAGACGAAGGTCACATGACATCTAGCCCACCAATCAGAAGTGAAGACTCCACGAGATCGGACCACCCTTCCCCCTCTTTGCACTCAGAGCTCGACTGAGATAGCGTCTGCAGCCGTGCTCTCCGCGTCTGAGGTAGAACCTAGCGTTATGGCCACCCAGTCGTGTTTGGAGAAGGAGCAGAAGCCACAGTCGGGTGAGATGCCCACAGGGCCAAATAATGAGGTTGCCTCTGCCCCTGGTGACGCCCACGGGGCCGAGAACACCAGTCCTGGTGCCTTGGTCCCAGCGGTCTTGACCAACCCCTCTCTCTTGGGTGGTGGCGCTGTGGGTGGTGGCGCCCCGCATGGTGGCACAGCAGGTTCCTCATTCTGCAACGTGGCTACCACCGCCATTTTGCTCACTGGGGAGGAGCCAGGGGAGTCCTCCGTGGAAGGTGTACAGGGGAGGGGGTGCCCTGACTTCCAGGGTGGTGAGAGTCCCCACGGGGAGCTGAGCTGTATGGTGCCCCGGGCGGGCCAAGGCATCCAGATGGAGCCTGCTCGCAGTGGGGCTGCCATTGGTCAAGCCTCGGGGGGCATTGACCAGCATTCCACTCAGATAGCTAGCCCAGGGAAGGGCTGTGGGAGGAAGCGGCTCAGCCGCGAGGAGGCTGCCATGGCTCAGAAGCCTCCTCAATGCTGTCTGTTTCCAGTGGCTGCTATGCCCCCAAGGTCCGAGTCTTTGCCGCCATCTTCTCCAAGGTCTCAACCCAGCAACTCGGCTTCTCTGAGGAACCACGCGTCGCAGCTGGGTCCTGGCCCTCACCTCCCCAGCGGTGCAGCCGTGCAACACCCTGCGCCCCAGGGCAGCATCACCCCATCAGGTCCTGTTCTCTGCAGTCAGGCAGCCAGGCCAGGCCCTACTCTCCGTAGCCACACATCCAGGTCCGGTGCAGCTGATAAGCGCCCTGTTTGCTTCTACTGCTGTGCTCCCGAGCCAGGCGCACCTCGTCGCAGTCGCCGTCTACCCGGGCCGAGCCCTGCTCTTGGGCGTCAAGCATCAGCACCAGGCCTTGCTCAACGCGGAAGTCGTGCACCCCAGCGAGGCCCAACTCGCCGTGGTATACCCGAAGCAGGCCCTGCTTTCCGCCGCCGCAGTGCTTCCGCGCCTGGCCTCAATGGTCGTGGCAGCCCTGTTTCTGTGCCTGGCCCTGCTCGTCGCGGTCGCCCTGCCTCCGCGCCTGGCCCTAATCATTCCGTTCAGCCACTTTTGGCGCATGGCCGTGATTGTCGCAGTGGCCCTGCTTCCACGTCTAGTCTTGCGCCTCATCGCCGCGGCCGTTCCTCAGCTGGCCGTGTTCGTCGTGGCAGCTCTGCTTTGGCGCCTGGCCCTAATCCTCGTGGCGGCCCTGCTTCCGCGGCTGGCCCTGCTCGTCGCCGCCATGGTGGTTCCGCGCCTGGCCCTGCTCCTCGCGGCCGCCCTGCTTTGGCGCCTGGCCTTGCTTCCGCGCCTGGCCTTGCTCGTCAACGCCGCGGTGGTTCCGCGCCTGGTCCTGCTCCTCGCGGCCGCCTTGCTTTGGCGCCTGGCCCTGCTTCCTCGCCTAGCCCTTATCGTCGCCGCCACGGTGGTTCCGCGCCTGGCCCTGTTCGTCGGGGCGGCCCTGCTTCCACGCCTGGCCCTGATCCTCGTGGTGGCCCTGTTTCTGCGCCTGGCCCTGGTCGTCGCGGCCGCCCTGCTTTGGCACCTGGCCCTAATCCTCGTGGCGGCCCTGCTTCCGCGGCTAATCCTCGTCGTCGCGGCTGCCCTGCTTTGGCGCCTGGCGGAGATCTTCGCAGGGGCTCTGCTTTGGTGCCTGGCCCTGATCGTCGCAGCGGTCCTGCTTCCGCGCCTGGCCCAGCGCATCGCGACCGCCCTGCTTCCACTCCTGGCCCGGATCTTCGCGGCTGCCCTGCTTCCACGCCTGGCTCTGCTCGCCGCCGCCACCGCCTTGGTTCTACGCCTGGCCCTGATCATCGCGGCCTCCCTGTTTCCGTGCCTGGCCCTGCTCGTCGCAGCCGCCCTGCTTCCGTGCCTGGCCCTGCTCGTCGCGGCCGCCCTGCTTCCTCGCCTGGCCCGGATCTTCGCGGCCGCCCTGCTTCCACGCCTGGCCCTACTCGTCGCCGCCGCCGCCTTGGTTCCACGCCTGGCCCTAATCATCGCGGCCGCCCTGCTTCCACTCCTGGCCCTGATGATCGTGGCCGCTCTGCTTCCACGCCTGGCCCTGCTCGTCGCCGCCGCCGCCTTGGTTCCACGCCTGGTCCTGATGTTCCTGGCCGCTCTGCTTCCGGGCCTGGTCCTGCTGGTTGCCGCTGGGGTGGTTCCGTGCCTGGCGGCGCTCGCCTCCGTCGCCTCCGCAGTGCTTCGCGTTGCCCTGCCCACGGGCCAGGCCCTGCCCACGGGCCAGGCCCTGCCCTAAGTAGCTGCGTAGTGGGGTTAGGCCCTTCCCTCCAAAGCAGCAGCCTGGATGCTCCAGGCTTTGCCTTCCGGGGCCGGGCCGCTCAGCGAAGATCACCACCTACTAGCTGCCCCTCTCCGGTTGGGCCTAATGGTGAGAGTCCTCCTTCATCCCCTGGGTTCTCCGTAGGAAGGTTTTCCAGCCAGAGCAGCTCAAGTTCTCTTGAATCCGAGGCCCCAAGTGTTACTCCGCCTCGAGTTTGGCATGCAGTCCGTATGCGTGCCTCCTCACCCTCACCTCCTGGTAGGTTCTTTACTTTCCCTAGGGTGTATTTTGAGAATTCATCCTCTTCCTCTTCCTCTGACTCCCCTGGGTCTTCTGACCAGAGCCCTCCCTCCTCCCCCACTAATCTTTGTGATGGGAGATACCCTCCCTCTTTCGCTAGGGTTTGTGGTCAGGGTTCCATCTCCACTCCTAGGCCTTCTGGCGTTAGGCGTATCTTGCTGCCAGAGCTTGAAGCCCTGAGCCCTCTCTCCTCAGAAGAGCCTGCTGAAATACGGAGCCCGCCTCCCTCTCCTCCACCTCCCATGCTATGATTCTCATGAGCATCCTCATGAGGCCCGTGGAAGGAATCAGCATCCACCCCACTGCCCTGAATGGGCTGCCTGTTACGCGATTACCTGTGAAGTTTACAAATGTTCTAGCCATTAACCAACATCATGAGCAGTTTTGAAGCTCTTGTTTGTAAAGGCAGTTTTGATGCCTCTCCTTCCTGTAATGGCACTACTTAGCGTTTATCTGCTGTTGGCACTTAATTCCAGCCCCTGCTTATCCCTGCAAAAAGCCTGTGTTTGCCTCTAAGCTGAGCTTTCCCTTTTCCGAGTTGCCTTTATGCAATGAAATTTTTGAATAAATAAAAAGTTGGTTTGATTTAAAAAATGTGACTTTTTTTTGTCCAAAAAACCACTGTTAGTCCTATGTCTTATTTAGAGGATTTAAGAAAGTTGTTGACATACTAGCTGACTCATTGGAAGGGGGAGGGAATAAAATACTATCCTAGCAATCTTTTATTTCCACTGCCTAACATAGAGTTCTTTCCAGGAAAATAGCATTTACATGTTATACATGCTCTTTGCATAGGTTTTTTGCAGCTTGGACAAGAAAAGTGGGCAGGATTTAACTCAGGGTGGCTAGAGAAAAGGGGTGATGGAGATATCCAGGTTGAATAATAGGCAGGGCATGTAGGGGGAATACTTCCTCCTCAGATGGGAGTAGGAGGTGCTGGAAGGAAGATGCAGGATCAGGAAGGAGAATAGCAGGAGTCAGGAGCCCAAGGGGGAAGGTTTCAGCTTCCAGGGGAGAAAAAATGTATATGTTGGGAACAAGGGTTCCTGAGGTCTGTGAGGAGAGGGGAGGGGAATGTCTGGGAGAGTGAAGATGAAAGTCGGTCAGTCCTTTAGGATTCTTTGTGACCCCATGGACTATACTATCCATGGAATTTTCTAGGCCAGGTTCAAGGTTAATGATTGATGTAAAAGTGGTCATATACTTAGTGAAAATTGTGTTAATGGGTAAACCCATTTAAAAAAATTATTCTAAGTGTGAGCAGATATGTGAGGTAAGTATGTTTGTGCATGTATAGACATTTGGAGAGAATTGGATGGACATATACCATCCTACGAACAGGGCATATATCTCATCTTTGAAATAACTGGTGGTATGGTCTATGTTTGTATTTTCCACCTTGGCCATATTGCTGGTTCTGTAATGAAACTCAACTCAGCTGTTTTTTGTTTTTTTTTTCCAGAAGTTAAGTTGTGGAAACGTGGTAGGAGACCACATTTTAAAAAACAGAGTGAAAGAAAATTTAAACCAAACCAGTAAAAGAAACTGCCCCTCCCTATTCTCTTGTACTCGAGTCACATATATCCAACTACCTAATTGACTTTTCTACTTGGGATGTCTAAAAGACATCTCAAACTTCAGTAACATGTAGTTCTATTCAGTAGAAATATAATTCTAGCCACACGTGTAATAACGTTTTCTAGTAGCCACATTATAAAATGCCTAAAGAAACACATGACATTAATAATTTATTTAATTTCATCTATCCAAAATATTATTTCAACATGTAATCAATATTAAATTATTTATGAAATATTTATTTTTTAGATGAAAAATTTTTATTGAAGTATAGTTGATCTACAATGGTGTGTTTCTGGTGTATAGCAGTGATTCAGCCATGCATATATATATATACATACATACATACATATATATGTATATACAAGAATATATATATACACATACATATGTATATAAAAGAACATGTATATATACATATATGTATATATATATATATACATGCATTCTTTTTCATATTCTTTTCCATTATGGTTTAAGATATTGAATATGGCTCCCTGTCCTATACAGTAGGGCCTTGTCTGTTTTATACATAGTAGTTTGTATCCACTAATCCTAAACTCCCAATTTATCCCTTCCCTAACCCCTTTCCCCTTTAGTAACCATAAATTTGTTTTCTATGTCTGTGGGTCTGTTTCATAAATTCATTTGTGTCATATTTTAAGTTCCACATATAAGTGATACCATATGGTATTTGTCTTTTTCTTACTTCACTTAATATAATTTAATGAGATATTTAAAATGTTTTCCTATGAAGTTGTCAAACTCTGGTGTGTAATTTACACCTGCAGCATATCTTAATTCTGACTAGCCACATTTCAAGTACTCAGTAGCCACAAGTGTGGACATGTGTATACAGTACAGTTTTAGACCTTCTCATTTTCTTACTCATTTCCTACTGAATCATGATTCCAACTCCAGCAGTTTCTCATATTGTGGACTCCCGTCCTAGAAGGGAGCCCTGATATGTCAGTTTGGGGACTTCACAAGGGCTATGATGCTACCAGCACCTTTGGTGTCTTTTGAGCTGGGCTCCTTGCACTTAACTGGTATTGAAAAGGGCAGAAACCTTGGCAGTTTCAGCTTCTCTTTCCAGTGAGTTGGTAGTTTGTGGTCTCTTATTATCAAGTCAGTAAAATGCTGTACCAGTACTTCTTTTTCTTTCTGCACAGACACTGATAACATGTAAGTAATGCAACTTTTAGTGATTTGTCCTCATCTGCTTGAATTTTGGGGGGCTGAGAAGGTATCTTATAACCTAGATTTATTGAAAATATTATACATGCATTTTGCTTTTGCTCTTGTTGCTCTGTTTTTATGTGTTTAGAGAGATCAAAAAGCCATATAGCCACTGTTACCACCATCTTCCCAGAATCTGTACCACCAAGTGTCCTTACTCCTTCAAAAATGTGTCACCCAGTCAACCCTTTGGTGTCTCTGAAGGATCACAGTGGGAGGCATCATCTGTACTATAATAGAAAAAATAATTAAATTCAGGAATTGGAACAAAAACCTGTTGGGCATGCTACTAAAAATCTTTAGAACTAAAGAAGTTATTTTCGAGAACACATTTTAAAAGTTTTTACTTTATCATATTACTTTGTTGGTTCACAAACTGGATCCTGTATGTGAAGGGCAAGGAAAGATGGAAGAAAGAGGCAGACTACTCCAGATTGGTGGATGTCAATTTTAATAAGCAAATAACTTACATTTTAAAAATATTTATTTCTTTTGGCCATACAATGTGGCTTATGGGATCTTAGTTCCCTGACTAGGGATTGAACCTGGGTCCTCAGCCATGAAAGAGGAGCCCTAACCACTGGACAACCAGAGAAATCTCAAGAACTTACTTTTTATTTTAAAAAAAAAATTGGCCTTTCACATGTAAGTCTATTTTGTTTTTACTTGGTCGTGCCACTTGGCCTGTGGGATCTCAGTTTCCCAACCAGGGATTGGACCCGGGCTCTCAGCAGTGAATGTACAGAGTTCTGACCACTGTATTGCCAGGTAATTCCCCACAAGGAACTTACATTTCAGGCTTCTCTTGGACAGCTGCAAGACAGTAGATCTCCATATCTGCCTGCCAGAATCTTGAAAGTTTACATAGTGCCCTTAATGGGGTTCAGTCATGCATACCAATCAGATGGTCTCAACATCACATTGCTATCTCAGGCTCTGTCCTTGAAAACAGCACCAGCTTTGGAAATGGTGGACTGAAGGTACCTTCCAAAGACTGTAGAGGGATTGAGGAGCCCCCAGTTGCTTAGGTCCAGCTTGAGAGTCAACTGTTGGTCATGTCCTCTTGATGACCTCTTCCAACATACTTAATTCTTGAGTAATTCTACACGTCACGCCCTCTTGATGACCTCTTCCAACATACTTATTCTTGAGTAATTCTACAGATGACCAAAAACTAGAATGTAAAATACATAGTTTTAATGCAGCAAGTGTCACAACCTCAGGTCAGAGGGCCTATATTTAGTACCATTTTACCAATGTGGAAATTGAGGCTCAGAGAAATTTTATGACTCTTGAGGTATCATTGCTAATTGGACTTGGCTCTAGAGTTAGAGGTGGCGCTAGTGGTAAAGAATCCACCTGCCAATGCAGGAGATGCAAAAGACATGGGTTTAATCCCTGGATGGGGAAGATCCCCTGGAGTAGGAAATGGCAATCCACTCCAGTGTTCTTGCCTGTGAAATCCCATGGACAGAGGAGCCTGGCAGTCCGTGGAGTTGCAAAGAGTGGGATATGACTGAGCATACATTGTCGTCATTGTCTAGAGTTCGAATTCCTAGTTTAAATTCTGATTTTCCTGTTGACTCACTGTGTGCTCCTTCACAAGTTAATGAACCTGGGATCCTAAATCTCCTCATTTGTTAATGAAGCACAATAAAAGTGCATGCCTCCTAGATTGTTTTAAGTATTAAAATGGATGCTGCGCATTAAGTGCTTCCAAAGGTATCTGGCACATAGTAAGTGCCCAGTAAAGATGGCTCTTATTCTAATAAGGATTATAATCATATACCCAGATATTTCTGACTCCATCAGCTAGACTCTTAACATTTGACAGATCTTTCTCAAGCAATTATACTTTAAAATCAAATTAGATATTTCAAAAATGGACAGGGCAACTCGTTGTTCAGTCACTAAGTGGTGTCCAACTCTTTGCCACCACAAGGACTGCCACAAACCAGGCTCCTCTGTTTCCACTATCTCCCGGAATTTGTTCAAATTCATGTCCACTGAGTCGGTGATGCTATCAAACTATCAAACACTCTGCTGCTGTTTTCTCCTTTTGCCTTCAATCTTTCCCAGCATAAGGGTCTTCTCCAGTGAGTCGGCTATTTGTATCAGGTGGTCAAAGTATTGGAGCTTCTCTAACAGTCCTTCCAATGAATAGTCAGGGTTGATTTCCTTTAGGATTGACTGGTTTGAACACCTTGCAGTCCAAGGCACTATCAAGAGTCTTCTCCAGCACAATTTGAAAGCATCAATTCTTCAGCACTCAGCCTTCTATATGGTCCAACTCTCACATCTGTACATGACTACTGAAAAGTACCATAGCTTCGACTATAAAGACCTTTGTCAGCAAAGTGATGTCTCTTTTTAATATTCTGTCTAGGTTTGTCACAGCTTTCCTGCCAAGGAGCAAGCATTTTTTATTCTCGTG